AATCAGACGAGAGATATGCTCCTTCATTCATCAGACTCTCAGCAGCTATAGCCATGATGTTATGTGCTGCTTCCTTTTCTGGTGACTCCTTGAGAGTCACTGAGTCTAATATGGAGGAGTTTAGATACTGATCAGGATCATCCTCAGGGGCTTTTGACACTTGAGGAGTAAAACCTCCTGAGTGTTCTTTTATAAGATCATAGGAGTGACCAGACATAGGATTCTCAAAATGATGGTAAGCAGGGTTTATCAGAAAAGGAAAAACTGTAGGAATGGAGGAGGAGCCAGGAGTGGTTAGGGTGGTAGAAGGCGTGAAATAGTAATGCTCTGGGGATGATTTCGAGGATAATAAAGAAGTGGGAGCGGTGTCAATGGTGGGGGAATGAGACGATTGTTCGATCTCCATTAGATGAGTACTTGGTAGACGAGTAGAGAGAGAGAGAGTTGAAGAGAAGATCCCAGCTGTACAAAGTAGATGAAGGTTCATGACTTGCTGTGAGAGAGAAAGAAAGTTTTATTGGAAGAAGGGCTAATGATGAGTGGAGAGCAAAACAGGTTCTGAATAGTTCTAAAAACGGCGGTAGGTTTGTGGGAAAGTGTTACCGTGCAGAGGGGATGAAAGGATTTGAAAGACAAGACATGACACGCAGACTTTGAAAAGTCGGATGATGTGGCAGTTGAGTTAATTTTGTTAAAACAAAATTTATTTTTAGAGGGCATGCAGAAAAACACATATTACTACTAACATGAGGTATAGGTGCCTGATGCCAGATCATTTTTTTTGAAACGGTTATAGCAGCTCCTCTCTTCGCAGTTCATAACTGTACCTTTAGCTTCTATGATCGTCATGCGTGTATACCTACAACGGTATTGATGTGAGTTAGACTTGGTCAGAAAACACTTTAGCTACCTTTACCTGACGGTGTCTTACGTATCCGCCTGATGGAGGATCAGGTTCTTCATTAGACGTTTGTGACACCATTTTCACCTTGATTGATCTAGAATATTCTCTACTCGAGGCTTTGATGTAGATATCTGGAATTTGGTCTTCTGTTCTGCAATACTTTCCACAGATCAAACCCTTCTTCATATTGTCCCTCAGAAGATGATCTCACCCTTCAATGTGCTTGATCCTCATGTTTTTTTTAAAAAAATTCTTCTTCAGTTATTGATGAGGCCNAACCATGCAGTGACACTTCTCCCAATTCGACACCAAATTTGTCTCCTTACATCTAGCCAATACCCTATCCAAATTTTTCAAACAATCTTCAAACGAATTCCCAACCACAGAAAATCATCCATAAAAACCTCAAGAATGTCCTCCACCATATCGGTGAAAATAGCCATCATCCACCGTTGAAAAGTTGCTGGTGCATTGCACAACCCAAAAGGCATCCTTGAAAACCAGAAAGTACCATAAGGACATGTGAAAGTGGTCTTCTCTTGGTCCTCGGGAGCAATAAGAATTTGGTTGTATCCGGAGTATCCATCAAGGAAGCAATAAAAAGCACGTCCGACCAACCTATCAAGCATTTGGTCAAGAAACGAAAGCGGGAAATGATCTTTCCGAGCGACCTTGTTGAGATACCTATAGTCCATGCACACTCTCCACCCGGTGAAGGTTCTTTTTAGGATCAATTCATTCTTTTCATTTGTCACCACAGTCATGCCCGCTTTCTTTGGGACACATTGCATCGGAGAGGTCCACAAGCTATAGAAAATGGGGTAGACAACCCCGGCATCTAACCACTTGATTATCTCCTTCTTCACTACCTCTTGCATTGCTTCATTTAATCTTCTTTGATGTTCAATAGAGGGTTTGGCACCCTCCTCCAAGATAATTTTGTGCATGCAAAAGGCGGGACTTATGCCCTGGATATCCGCCAAAGTCCAACCGATTGCCCTTTTCCTCCTTTGTAGCACCTCCAAAGTGGACTCTACCTGCATGTTAGTTAAGCATGAAGAAAGAATAACCGGTAAAGTAGAAAATGGGCCAAGGAAGTCATACCTGAGGTGCGGTGGCAATGGCTTTAAATCCAAGGTAGGAGGCTCCTCGATTGAGGGCTTTATTGGAGGAGTCTTCCGATTTTCAAGATCCAAAGATAGCTTTCGGGGCTCATATGTGTATGACCCCATGCCTTGCAATGCATTTACGCACTCCTCATAGCCATCACTCTCCTCATCATCATCAAGATTGAGCAAAACTGCTTCCAATTTGTCCTCAACATTCATTGTTGCACTAGCATCATCAACTATCACATCGGTCACCAAATCCACAAATGAACAAACTTCATTACTATTCGGTTGCCTCACTGATTTGCACAGATGGAAGACCACCTTTTCGTTACCCACCCGGAAAATGAGCTAACCGGCCTCTACATCAACAAGCGCCTTCCCCGTAGCAAGGAAAGGTCTACCCAAAATGATAGGCACATCATAGTCCACCTCACAATCAAGGATAACGAAGTCCACCGGGAGGATGAACTTGTCAACTCTAACCAATACATCATCAATAATGCTCAAATGCCTCTTCATTGTCCGATCTGCCATTTGCAACCTCATGGATATGGGTCTTGGTTGCCATATTCCTAAAGTTTTGAACACAGAGTAGGGCATCAAGTTGATACTTGCCCCGAGATCACATAATGCTTTGGCAAAATCGGCGCTCCTGATAGTGCAAGGGATTGTGAAAGCGCCCGGATCTTCCAACTTTGGAGCCATTGAATGCACAATAGCACTCACTTGATGAGTCATCATGATGGTTCCATAATTCATTGATCTTTTCTTGGTTACCAAATCTTTCATGAATTTTGCATATCCTGGCATTTGCTCCAATGCCTCAACCAATGGCACATTTATGGACAAACTCTTCATCATATCGATAAACTTTTTGAATTGGTTCTCACTGTTTTGCTTTGCAAGCCTTTGAGGGTATGGAGGGGGGGGGGGCTTGGCATTGGTGCCTTAGCCTTTGGTACCACCAGTTCCGGCATGTCAATCACGTGTTCCTTAGACGGGTTCACCTCTTCTTGCGTCTCCTCCACACTTTCATCTATATCAATTATCACTTCTTCATTAGCTTGAACCATATTGCTTGGGATTTCATCCTCTTGAACCACAACATCTTCATCCACAATCCTTCTTTGATTTGAGGTGGTTGCATCTCCACCTTTTCCACTTCTCGTAGTCACGGCCGTAACATGTCTCTTATTATTCCCACCCTTCGGGTTCACCACTGTATCATTAGGTAGTGCTCCCTTAGGGCGAGTGTTCAATGCTTGTGAGATTTGGCCTAGTTGAACCTCCAAATTTCGAATAGAAGTGTTGTGCGAGGCTATTTGCGCATTGGAGTCGGCGTTCTTCTCCATCATCTGTTTAAACATGTTTTCAATTCTACACATCTCATTGGAAGAAGAGATCGGGCCTTGAGAAGGATAGGGAGGTGGATTGCTTGGTTGTTGGAACATCGGAGGCCTTTGAAAACCCGGCCCCCGGTTGTAGTTGTTGTTATTCCACCCTCCTTGGTTATTTCCTCCCCAATTGCTTTGATTGTTGCCACACCAATTGCCTTGATTACCCCAATTTCCTTGATTTCCTTGGTTGTCCCAATTGATTTGATTAGAACTACCACCACTCCAATTGCCTTGGTGGTTTTGGCTGTTCCAATTACCTTGGTTCCCTTGTGACCTCCATTTTTGTTGGTTTTGTCCTTGAGCATTGTTTCTTTGACCTTGATAATTGCTGACATATTGAACTTCTTCGTCTTGATCATTGAATGAATCACCTTGATCATAACCACTATCATCTTGCAAAAATTATTCCGGACGGCTTTGCATTTGTTGACCTTGTTGCCCTCTTTTGTTTACCATCATATTCACACCTTTGCATGTACTTGTTTCGGCCCCTCAACTTGTTGAAGCTGAGCCTTGGCCAATTGGTTCATGGTAGTTGTCAACTCGGCAATAGCTTGCCCATGGTCATGTAGCTCATTATGTAGGTGAATAACATTAGGGTCACCTTGAGGTACATTGGCTCTACTTTGCCACGCTGAAGAGGTATCCGCCATCTCATCAAGAATTTCACAAGCTTCGGCATATGGCGTGTTCCTGAAGTCCCCCCCCCCCCCCACGAGTTGATTAACCACACATTGATTAGTTATGTTGATCCCCCTGTAGAAGGTCTGTTGGATCATGGACTCAGTCATATCATTGTTCAGGCACTCTTTAACCATGGTATGATATCTTTTCCAAATCTCGTGCAATGGCTTATTGGGTTCTTGCTTGAAAGCAAGAATCTCATCCCGAAGGCGTTGCCATATGTCCTGGAGAGAAGAATTTTGGAAATAAACTTTCTGCCAACTCATCCCAAGTGGTGATGGAATGGTTGGGAAACCTTTTTAACAGTCCAATGCTTTTCCCCGTAAAGAAAAGGGAAAAAACCTCAACCTCAGCGCGTCCTCAGAAACATTTGTTTGCTTTGGTAAAATCGGCGCTCCCAATAGTGCAAGGGATTGTGAAAGCGCCCGGATCTAAAAACCTTTGGAGCCATTGAGTGCACAATAGCACTCACTTGACATCAACCAAGGGACGGGACCGAGATAAGAACCAGGATAAGTTCAAAAGTGATTTCGATACGGATCGACGATCTTCTAAAGGTCATTTCTCGCCATACGAGAGAACGGAAGGACGCGACAACAAATGATTCTGGTCCTCGGATAGGTTCGTTCCCGATAGAAGAACTGACAGTGGCCGGAACAACATGCCGTTACAAGAAACAGAGGTATCAGGGGTTTGAGATTCCAGATATCCTAGGTTATCGGATTATAACTTCAACATCAGCATGGTGAATTAGTGTCAGCGATGAGGAATATCAAAGAAGTACGATTCTCGAAGCCAATCTGATCCGATCCCAACCAGAGGGAACCTAACTTATGGTGAAAATATCATGGAACTCACGACCATAGAACTAAGGACTACTGGCATCTGTGTGAAGAGGTGGCAATGTTGTTGAAGAACGGCCATCTCAGGAAATTCTTGTGTGACCAGGCCAAGAACAAATACGGCCGTAATCGGGACAATTCGGCGCCTTCGAAGATAGCAGTAGACTCCCCCCGGTTGACTATCAACATGATTTTCGGAGGGAATGAAATTAATGACACAACCTTCTCGGCGGCCGAGAAAACAAAGATATCATCGACCCACAACAAGAGACTTCGTAAAGTCACAGAAGATGACATCACCTTCATGGAGGAAGACGCCGACGGACTTCTTCTGCAACATAATGACACCCTAGTAATTTCTCTCAATGTCTTAGATTTCAAGATTAAGCATTTTTTGGTTGACCCAAGAAGCTCATCCAACATCATTCAATGGAGAGTGCTGGAACAAGCAAAGGTAACCGGAAGCATCATTCCGGCAACAAATCTCCTCGCTGGGTTCAACTTAGCAAGTGTGACAATCCGATGAGAGATCCTACTGGCCACGGATACCGAAGGGGTAACCAAGACTACCTTATTTGAAGTGGTAGACGGCAACATGGGTTACAACATAATCCTCGGAAGGCCGTGGATACATGAGATGAAAGATGTGCCCTCAACATATCATCAACTATTGAAATTACCAAAAGAATCAAGTAGATAACAGGAGATTAACCGGCAGTGAGAGAGATGAACGCCGTGTCGATTTCCAGCAGCAAAGGGAAGGAGCCTGGCAAATAGGAATTACAGGAACCGATGCCTTCTCCCTTGCTAAATGGTGATGATAAAGGCGAGGAGTCTTCAGAATCCCACCAGTTGCCGAGATACTTTCACGTACCGGAAGAGACATATGCAACCAAGTCCACTACAGAAGAACTCGAGCAAGTGGCTCTATTCGAAGAATTCTTGGAAAGGAAGTTTCACTAAGGAACAGGACTCAGTCCGAACTTATGTCAGGATTATTAATTTCCTTAAGGCAGAATAGCCCGGTAGACACTTGTACTTATACCGCTTTGACATCCCGGTCCCAGTACTTTGCAAAGTTTCATCTAAGCACTTGTACGTGTCCAAATAGAATATTTTAAATACCTCTGACCATTGACTGAGCTTATGTGGCATTTATATGGATGAGTTGGACAAAGCGCGTGTTTTCTACGCACATATGGTACGTGAATTCACGGAATTGGTAATTTTACTTCAAGGGAAATAAGAAAACGACAAAACCAAAAAATAAATAAAAAATAAAAGAAAGAAAAATATAATCCCCTCCCTTATCGTCCTTCTCTGTTTCTCCCCCTCCCTTTCTCTTTTCTTTATCAGATCCCACCCCTTCCCCTTTCCCTTTCTCTTTCTTTATTCTTTTCTTCATAAGATTTTCTGCTTTGTGCGTCCCGTCTTCCATCAATTCGTCTCCAACGTTCTTCTTCCCCTTTCCCCTTTATATTGTTCCACCATTTTTTTCGGTGGTTAAAGTTTCTAAATCAAATTTTTCTTCCACCAATACTCTCCAAAAACAAAAATATATTAAAATAAATAAATTTTGTTTGAATTTCAATACTTCTTAAATACTAAGCTTGTTGGGTGTATTTTCTGGCGAGTGAAGCATTTCAAAATTTTGAGCTTGATGGTTATCTTCTATGGCTACTATTTCTTGTCGCTGGCGGAAGAAGTGGTGTCGCGATGGTCACTAGTGGTTCTAAAAATGGGTAAGACTGAAAGTTGACGGTGAGGGGTGGAGTGATTGTGAATTTGTGTGTGAGTGTCAATTAAAATTTTGTAAATTCTGTCCGTTTGGAGAAAATATGTATATGAGCCATTGTTCCGGTGGGTTGACTGAAACATGATTAAAGGCCCGAAAATGGGTGAGAAAACGTGAAACAGAGGGTTTTAACTTAGTTTTCAAATGGAATTTTTAACTGACAAAGATAAAAAATGACATGGCAAGTGATGTGGATCTGATGTGTCATTCCTGTCAAGCAAGTGAGAAACACGTATCATNTGTTTGATATGTGGGTGGAGGTGTTCGATAGGTAAGTGGAGATTTCGGGCCTTAAGCCACCATTACTGCCCCAACGTCTTTCTTCTTTGATATGCCGCCTGATTGCAATGCTTTATTTGTGGCATGTAATGCCTCAAAATTTGTTATCATCCCACTTTTGATGCCTTCCTCAATTCTTTCCCCAAGTTTAATGATATCGGAGAATTTGTGGTTTCAATAACCATCAACCTTTCATAATACTGCAGGTCTTGTGCTCTGACGAAGAACTTGTTCATCTTTTCTTCGTCCAAAGATGGCTTGATCTTGGCCGCTTCCGACCTCCAGCGGGTAGCATACTCGCGGAAAGTCTCAGTGGGCTTCTTCTTAAGATTCTGGATGTAAAAAACATCGGGTGCATTTTCTGTGTTGAACCTGAACTGGTCCATGAAATCCGAAGCCATAGCTACCTAATTGGACCATTTCTTGGGATCCTGGCTGATGTACCAGGACAAGGCATCACCAGTAAGACTCCTCGTGAAGAGTTTCATCCGGATCTTTTCATTTTTTCCGACTCCAACAAGCTTGTCACAATTGGTCCTTAGATGGACCCTAGGATCACCTGTACCATCAAACATCTCGAACTTAGGAGGTTTTTACCCCTCCGGCAGTTCCACATCTGGCTGTATGCATAGGTCTTCATAATTCAAACCTTCTATCCCTTTGCCGCCTTCGACACCCTGAACCTGACTTATCAATTTCTTGAGTTTGTCAGCCATGTTTTTAATGAGTTGGTCCTTCTCTAAGGATTCTGGTGCATAGGAAGTTTGTTGAGTAGAGTGAGGTATGGTCTCCACATATATGGGGTTGTTTTGATGAGTGCCAAGGACTTGGGTGTAATGATGGTTATTGGTTAAGTTTTGAGGATCGGGAATGGGTTGTGGTATGTTTTGGGGAGTGTGGCAACTGGCGGTTGGTGGGTATTGGATTGATTGGTGGTGTTGTGGTGGAGTTGGTATTGGTAAGGGATTGAGATTTTGAGGTGGGATTGGGTATTGATGTGGTGCATGAGGGTTTTGTGGGTGTTGGTTTGATGTGTTTTAGGGAGATGCTGGGTTCTTTGTGTTTTGTTGGTTGATGTTGGGGACATTCAGGGTGACTGATAAGTTCGCCAAGTTGCGAACCTGCTCAAGCTCTCCTTGTAGCTCCAGTATCTTTTGTTCCAATCTTAAGACTAGATCATTTGGTGCCGGAGTACTCCGGCCGTCTGAAGTCTCTGCGTTCTAAAAATTCTCCTTTCGAATACCATTAAGTCGTCCATTTTAGCCTTCCCTTTGCTCTTTGTATTGCTTGGAGGAGGAGCAGGTGGAGGGCCTCTGGATCTGGTATGATACGCTGATGATGCCAGTATGAGTGAACCAACCTTAGGAAATGGGAATAATCAAAATTAAAAAAACAAAAAGGTAACAAGTTAGTAGGGGTTTTGAAATGTTGCGGTATTTAAACACATATTGAGGGAATATAAATTCGCGTCCTAATTTGGGAGCCTCGTTGTGCCCGAGGTAGGCCTAGCGACAAATAGATTTGGAGAACTTCAGATGCCAACAAATGCCTCATTTCATAATATGAAAAATAGACGAATCCCAAAACGACACTAAGATAAAAAGAAAAACAAAAGTCACTACCGGCACTTGGCCTTATTACATTTTAAGAAAGCAAATAAATCTAGTCTATTTGGTCCCAGGAGGACCTTCCCCGGATTCGATCCTCCTAACTCCGTCGTACAGGTCTCCCAGCTCGCGTAGACCCAGCAGCAAGTAGGCCTTGGCCAGATGTCCTCCTTCAGCTCCTTCAGCGTTCTGGCAATCCTCAATCCTCTTTATGACTTTACCTTCCAGCTCCACTATTCCAGATATTCCAACTTCCTGTTGGAAGTGACTGCCATTATTTTCCATTCTTCGATCAACCTCATATTCCTCTCATGTATTTCCCGGTGCTCATTCTCAGAGTCGTGGACCCTCTTCCGCAGCCTGTTATATTTGACTTGAGCTTCAGCTTCTTCGTCTATGATTCTATTCCCTCGACCGGCTCCTGCATCACCATTACTTTTAGATTGTCTTCTAACCACGCCGGGTAGAGAGGTTCGCACCCTGCATGATACATGTCGGGCTCTATGGTGTTCTTTTCCACAATGATCTTACAGTGCCACATATGCTGGGCTTGGCACTTGTATGGGACATCGTCGTCTTGAAAGTTTGCTGCGAAATGACACATCTTGGCAACCCTTGGTACAACCTGTTTCCTGCCTGCTTGCCTCATAACTCGGATAGGGACATAAGGGTATATTCCTCTCAACCCAATCAGCACCAGGTGTGGAGCGTCCCTGAATCTGATGATGAATTCGTCTGTTGGGAACCATTCAAACATCCATTGCACTTTCTCTTCGGTCAGATTGTCGAAGAACTCCACCCACTCTTTTGCACTTTCCAGCTGAGCAAACCTGTTCGGAATGTAGGTCATCCGCTTGGGGTGATGGAAGGCAATATGGCCATTTCCCTTCGCGGAAATTCTTGGCGATACTGGCCCCTTTGAAGATGTTCTAATAACCACAATTGCAGCAACATGTTACAACCCTCGAAATGCTTGAACCCTCTTTGACAGCGCTCCAGAGCCTTGTAGATGTCGGCTATGATCATGGGGACTATGGTGTATGTTTGTCCGTTGATTCCTTCCATGAAAGTCTTGGCGACCATGGCCAACATTGTGTGGATTCTTTCCCTTTTCATTGGGAGTACTATCAGGCCCAAGAAGCACACAATGAACACGAACACTCGGCGGTGGATGTGGCCCAGAGAAGTGATAGAAAGCTCGTCATGGTAGGTATGGTAGGACTTGCTATGGCCATACCTCTCATACAGATATTCGAAGGGTATGTAAGATTCCTTCAGGCATCCCAAGTCAGCATTTTTCTTCAGCCGCATCATCTTTAAAAACCCTTTACCAGTACGGTTCTCCGGCACCAATAACCCAGGGCTATCCCAAGCCAATCCCGCAAGTCCCTAAATTTCTTCTAGGAGTGGTGTCATCTCTATGTCGCCAAAACGGAACACAACCCTTTCACTATCCCAGAATAAAGTGGCAGCCTCGATCAACCTTTTGTTTGGCTCAATGTCTAGTAGAGAAGGTAAATTGCCCAAGTACTTTCTTACGTGTTTCTTGAGGAAAGGTCCTCCCACCAATCTAGTAGCAATGGTGGAATGTTGCTAACCATACCGAATTTGGGGACCTCATGCCTCATTTTCTGCAAACCAAAAGGGTTAGTCCCTTATCCCCCACCAGACTCGACTATCTATACATTCATGATTAGCATATTGGCATTGAGTTCTCCAAATTAGTGCACAGAATGTGGTTGTGTCCGTTGGGATTATGGAAACCCCGATGGACTTTTGGATAAGGCTTGTCTTAAAGGATTATTATGTGGACAACATATTAATCCGGCTAGGTTTGACCATGAT